CCCGGCCAACTGCACCTGCCCCTCAGAGGAGACGGTGGAGTGCGGGGGCCTGGACCTGCACGTCTTCCCCAGCAACATCTCCAGCGCTGTCCAGCACCTTTCTCTGCAGGTAGCAAGCCCCTGGCCCCGCCGGGCCCGTCCCCCGCTGGGAGGAGCCAGGGCCCATGGAGGGCAGGTCTCCGCCGGTGAGGGGCCGTCGCGGGCAGGGCTGCGGGCGCCACCCAGGCGAGGGCGCGGTGGGCAGGGCCCCGCCAGCAAGAGCTGGGCACGTGTGGGCCTCCCACAGGAGAGCTCTTCCCAGCCTCCTGCGGGACAGAAATCCCCATAGCCCCAAATCAGAGCCCCCCTCCTTGCCCTTCCCTCCCCGAATCCCGGACGGACGCACGTGAGGGGCCGTCGCGGGCAGGGCTGCGGGCGCCACCCAGGCGAGGGCGCGGTGGGCAGGGCCCCGCCAGCAAGAGCTGGGCACGTGTGGGCCTCCCACAGGAGAGCTCTTCCCAGCCTCCTGCGGGACAGAAATCCCCATAGCCCCAAATCAGAGCCCCCCTCCTTGCCCTTCCCTCCCCGAATCCCGGACGGACGCACTTGCAGGCCAGGCTCCAGTTCCAGCAGGAGGTTCTCCCACCTCGTCTCCACTCTCGGGCGGCTTCGCCCCAGGCATTAGACGGCTGCCACGCTCCACCCCAGAGGCAGCTGCATGTCAGCGGTGTGGGAGGTTATTTGGGCCCTGGCAGCAAAGCACGGCAGGGACAGGATGGCAGCTCCGGGGGAGGAGGGAGGCAGGGCCGAGCGCACTAGCTGGACAGAGCAGGGTCACACGCTGGCCTCCCGGCTGCGCCTGGACAAACAGTCTCAGCTCTTCTCTCTGCTGCTCTCCAGGCCTCCCGGACGAAGCCTTCGAGTCCCTGGAGTCGCTGCAGTACATCTACCTGGCCAACAACAAGGTGGGCGCGGGTCTGTCCTCGGGCAGCGCAGGGCCCGGTGCGCAGCGTTCCCCGCCACAGCCCCGGTGGTTCCTCAGGCGTTCGCCCACAGGGACGGGAGTCTGTGCCCTGCAAGGGAGAGAGACTGTGTGTGTGTGCGTGTATGTGTGTGTGTGTGTGTGTGCGCCCCGCAAGGGAGAGAGAAACAGACATGTGTGTGTGTGTGTGTGTGTGTGTGTGTGTGTGTGTGCGCCCCGCGAGGGAGAGAGACAGACAGTGTGTATGTGCGTGTGTGTGTGTGTCTGTGCCCCACGAGGGAGGGAGAGACAGACGTGTGTGTGTGTGTGTGTGCCCCACGAGGGAGAGAGAGAGAGGTGTGTGTGTGTGTGTGCCCCACGAGGGAGAGAGAGAGAGGTGTGTGTGTGTGTGTGCCCCACGAGGGAGAGAGAGAGAGGTGTGTGTGTGTGTGTGCCCCACGAGGGAGAGAGAGAGAGGTGTGTGTGTGTGTGTGCCCCACGAGGGAGAGAGAGAGAGGTGTGTGTGTGTGTGTGCCCCACGAGGGAGAGAGAGAGAGGCGTGTGTGTGTGTATAACCAGGTTGGGATGGGACCTCCCAGGAAAGCCCAGAGACCTGCAGCCAGTGGTGTGGGTGACTCTGTCATGGCTGTAGGGGGTGCTGTGCTGCAGGGACCGGTGTGGGGGGGGGCAGCGCTG